AAGTCGAGGGAAAGTGATCACAATGAGAAGGATAGAAAGAGAAAGTGAAGACTATATGTAGGTCTTGACTAACAAAGGTTAAGGGAAAGTTTTCATCCCCAAGCTCTCTTTCCATGCAAAGAGTAATTCCAAGAGTATGTGATATATTTTAGATAAAAATGAAAAAATTATAGATACTTACATCCCCAGTGGATTGGAATTCATTTCTGATAAACCAAATGCAGCTAAGTTACTGAAACCGAATTATTTTTACTCGAGGTTTGAAGGACACAGAGGGAAACGTGGTACCTACTGGTCAGAATGTTCATCAGTTTCACATCTGTCTCAAAAGACAGAACACAAAGGAGGGGACCAGTAGGCTCTTCTCATGATGGGGGAAGAAGAACTGCAAAACATTTAGCCACCCCGAAGAAATGGGAATTGAGATTACCTTCAGTTGGTACTTTTATAAGTGCCTCTGGAAGGCAAAGCAAACTCTTGAGTTTGCAGTATATATTACCCTCTTTTGGGTAATAAAATGCTAAGCTGTGGAATTAAACTGCAAATCTCTTAGATGGCTTGGCGTGAGTGGTTGAGCTTTACTGCGGGCCAATTGTAAACCTTAATACTTAGATATAAATGAGCATTAGTTATGACTTGCAAGACAAATCTAGTAGTCTTTGTTTATTTTCTGATGACCCTGGTCTCTAAAGGGACAATCACATGCCTCTGGAAAGCGGGTTGTGAAAATAACAAAAACCATCTCCCCAACTTTATGAAACCATTCTTAACTGTTCTAGGAATACTCTAATTTTAATTGCTATAGTTTAAGAAAGAGTTGACAAATATCCAGAGTGAGATATCCAGAATGATCAAGGGCCTGAAGGATTACATGAGTTTGGGTTATGGCAGAATAAAAGGATTGGAACTCTTTGATTTGAATGGTACAGGCTTAGAGACAGGATTTTTAAAAGTATATAAATCCGAAGGGTACTTGATGTGTAGTTGTCAGGGGTGCGTGTGTGTGCGCGCACGCATATCTGTTTTAATATCAGTAAAAGAAAATAAATATTGCATAGCAATATAAGCTTTATGAATCTTGGTCATTAAAAGGTGGATAAGTTAAAGCATTTAAATATTAATAGATACCAATCCATCCTAGCATGAGACTGGCCCAGGAAATTTTGAGTACATTCCTGCTTCTGATTTAATATCCTTTCAGAAACACCCTGGTCCTCAGGTCACCCCAGACACCTTTAACATCAGTGGCGGGCGCAGAATATATGCTGAAAAGATGCAGTTGACCTGAAATTCATAATTTATTTCATCATTTTTGAAAAATATATGATCAAAAAGAATCTTTAGCAGCTGAACGGATTTATGTTCCACTAGGATTCATCTTAGTGAGAGTTTCTAAGGTTCTAGTTTTTGAAAAGTGACTCAATTTGGGAAGAAGGATTTAAAAATCCATGATTGTCCTCAAAAAGTTTGCACAGTAGCTTCACTTTTTCCCTCAAGGGAATGTTTACGTTCTTTGAAAAAACAATATCTCATCAATATTACCCATAATGTTTTATGATACTTGTTTTAGAATATAGTCTGGTGATTTTTACAACTTTTAAAATAATTTTTATAAATGTTTGTTCATAATGATATCTTATCATCCAGTAAAATTAATTTCCAGTTTGAAGAATACAAATTTAATTTGGGTTTATCCCAGAAAGAATCATTACCTAAAATGTTAATAGTATTTAGACTGCATAAAGGTGGAAATTTATTGCCTATGTATTATTTGTGCTAATTTATTTATTGCAGCTGAATGTCGTTTATAATGTGAAAGATTCTGGGTCTTCTAGAAGGCGAAGATCTATCTCCAATCAAGAAGCCTTTGATTTGGATGTTACTGTAAAAGATAATAAAGATGATGCCAATCATGTGAACTTGAACGTGTGCACAAGGTGAGTATCTGTTTGGGTCCCTCTTCTTCCTCTTTCTTTTTCTTTTGAAAAAAATGTATTTGAAGATGAATTATATAGGGTTGTCTAACTATATCAAAACCAGGAGTTACAGGTAACAAAGAATTTGGTTATGCATTATACTTCAGATTATAAAATAGGAATACTAATTATATTTAAGCATTTCTTAGATGTGTTCAAAAATTATTTATGAGTTTTTCTTCTATAACAAATTAGACTAGAATAATATACATATATATATATAAATTAATAAAAAGAGGTCTAATTTAGGAAACTTTAAATCAATCATGTTTAATATGATATTAAATATAATCATGTTTAATAAAATATGATTATTTCTTATGAGTTACTTTGCTGTTGAAATAATTATTCCAATTATGTAACCTTAACAGTTCCATTATTATTCAAAAATCAATGAATAGTTTTTTTTTAAGAGACACTAAAAACATTCTCATTTAGAATATTTGCATCTTGGGTAATTAGACTTACAGTGGAAACTCCTGACAATACTTATTACGGTGATTCTTGGTCTGTCTCAGGGTGTCTGAGGGTCTTGTTAGGCCATTGGTAAAAGGTCCTGACTTAACAGTAGGTCTCTGACACTGCAGAATCTTGGTTTGTCTAATGGACACGCAAGTTTGAGATACTCCGTGTGAAAGTTCTTGAATCAAGAGGCTTTGCAAGGCCTCTGTTGTCAATCTGCCCTTAC